AAGAAAGGTAAAAACATACAAGATCCAAGTGATATTTTTACATGTTATTTGCGGTTTAAGACTGCTTTTGAGGTATTTTATCACCATATTTCTAGTGCATTACTAACGCAGTAAGGGCTGTTTTTGCATATGTTGACCACATTTTGGTAATTTTCTTGGATTGTAAGTGCCGATTGCAATAATTATGTAAATTGCTTTATTTGTTTATCTCATAATATTTTACTTTTAAATACATTTCCATAATTACCATGAATCTGGAGGCTGATGCTGCTTAAATATTGATAAAAAAAAAATACTTACATTATATTCTAGAAAGAAGAGTTTTTACATTTTTAATTAGATATCTTCTGCATTTTTTTCCAGTAAATTACATGTATCACATTGTAGTAAGATTTATTATGATATAATTGTATACGTACCTGTAATGTCTCTGCCTTGCCTTACACACTTTCTTTCACAAACATACAATAATAAAAGCAATCTACATAATGAGCCACGTCACGACAAAACCAACATAGTGGGTTTGCGACCAGCATGGATCCAGACCAGCCTGCACATTCGCGCAGTCTGATCAGGATCCATGCTGTTCCCTATCAGTTTCTCTACTTGTAATAGAGTTGGTAAGCGAAGAGCATGGAACCGATCAGACTGCGCGGATGCGCAAGCTGGTCTGGATCCATGCTGGTCGCAAACCCACTATGTTGGTTTTGTCGTGAGGCGGCTCATATCTTCTTTCTCCCAGGACATCCATCCTTAATAAATAATACAGTTAAATAGTCATTGCTCATACTACTAGACTCCAACAAATATAACAACTTGTTAAATGATGCCATGCAGATTTATTCATGTGACAATTTGACAGTTGGACTGAATTTGGACAGAGATTATTTTCTTAGTTTGCAAACTGTTATCAGACACACGTTTTCTTCTCCCTGTTGTAACGATACAAATATTTCATTAGTCTAGACAATGATTACAATCGTGCTCCAGCTTCCACTCAACAGCCATAACATCTTTGTAGTACTCTAAATTCATTTCTCTGTTGATGTACATATCATTATGTACGCTGAAATTTTACTTTTAAATCTGCTTTTCCTTTAGACTACATTTTAAAGTTGTACTTCAAAACATGAACCTATTTTCTTCCATCAAGTATGTTTTTTTTTCTTCTATTGTGTTAAGATTTGCTTCTTGACTATATAATTTTATCGTCTTTGGAATAATGAAGATTGCTGCCATTCTCAGTGTTCAATGAGTGTGTCACTTTACAGAATACAAGGCTGGTTGTGTTCTTCATTTCATGTAACAGAAACACCCCATCTGTAAAGTAGGACAGCGATTGCAAAATATTTTTTATCAAACTTCACTGTATACAGACTGCACTTGACACATCAAATGATAAATGTCAATACAACAATTAGAAAACACTTCCTTTTAGATAAATGCAACACATACACATACACTTGGTTTTATTGGACGTCCTATAATATATATTTTGTTCTATAAGATGCTCTGTTGTCGCATTGTTTCTACGTTGCTCGACACTTGCCGTATCAGTCTGCTCAAAAATAGATAGAAATGATGTCACTTACCTCTGTCACAATACACTTTCTTTACTTTGAAACACCACAATAAATTTCATATTCCCTTTTCCATTGGTTCGAACTATTCATTAAAAACGTGAAAAAAATATTTCTTCAAAACCAAAAATGTAAAAATCAGTTGGGATGGCAAAGGGTTTCAGTAACAGTAACTTGTATATATATAAACGTATTTAGTCAAAATGAAAGTTTTGTTATCTTGACAGGTCCACTCAATGTAGCTGAAATGTATTGGTATTTAAATATAATGAAAATTAAAATCTGCTCCTGTTTATAGTCATCTTTTATATATAACAGTCATAAAGATCTTGGGTAGATGTCATTAGAAAATGGCAATATATGTGTTTCAATACCTCTTAAGAATATGCCTGAACATTTAATTATGATTCTGACCTATGTAAGTGATAAGGATTAAAACAAGAGCTGTCGGTAGGACAGCACGCTCGACTATTCTTAGTGCTTGATAGTCAGAGAGCCTTGATAATGTAAAATTTTCACAAAAGGGCTAATTTTTTTTTTATAAATCCATGTTATAGGCCTTGGAGAGAGTCCTATTATGCTTCTAAAGAAGTGTATTAAATTTCAACCTGTTTCAAAGCAAGATGTCAATGAAATATGAAAATATTTGAGGTGTTATAAAAACTTTGACATAAATTACAAGTCGAAAAAGGGGCATTTTTCTGTCAAAATGCTTGAAAGGGTTACCTCCTCCTGACTACAGGTTGGGGTCATGATGGTGAACAAGTGTGTAAAATTTCAAAGCCATATGTCAAGGACTTTGAAAATATTTTAGGTATTACAAAAACTTTAACATAAGTGGTTAAGACGACGCTCTGGTGACTAGTAAAGCTCTACTTATTCATATCAAATAGTTGAGCTGAAAAGTCCTATATGCCATGGTTCAACTTTTTCATTAATTTTCTTAGCTTAATGAGCCATGGTTGTTTATGTTTCGACTTGATAAATCAAACTTAATTATCTGCCTCGGAAAACAAACTACAGAATTTATAAAACAATATTTAAACATGCTTACCAATTAAATGTCAGCTTTCGTTTCTCGATGAGGAAAATTAAAAAGATGGATGTTTCTCAATACAAATAATATGCTTAAAAGGGCTTATATATTTCACCGGAATAAAAATGTTATGTCCATATAGACATTGTCATTTCTAAACCAAATGGCTCTTATTTAAGTTACTTTCATAGAGGACTTCTGCACAATGTTATATAAGCTTTATGCCTTTTGGAACTAGAAATCTGTCTATAGGACATGGATGCCCCTGCCATACGAATTTTTTTATATCCCAGTACATCCTTGACCTAGATGTTGCATGTGACACAATTTCTAACCCTAGTGAAGACATCTGCCAAAGTTTTTAAAAAAATTATAAGCCAAAGAGTAATGCAGACATAATGCACACTTTGACCTTCATTCTCTAACTGCAACTTTGACCTTGAAAAATATAGACATGGGTTTTAAGCAAGGCACATTGACTGGTGGAGACATATGCAAACTATTTCAATAATTCATCTAGTACCAACAAAAATATACATGTTATACAGACATGGTTTGTAGAGAATCATTAGGTAATATCACATGCAAATAAACAAACTTTTAGTGTTTAAGCTTCAGGAAAATTCTCTTTAAGTTTTATCCTTACAAGAAAGACAGCTAGCAAACTGAACCCTAGGAATATGATTTGATATGTCAAATCCTTAAGCTCTGAAAGATAAAAAATAACTCAAGCAAAATGATTTCAATGTACCAGTACTTATGTTTTCATGTTTGTCTATATAAAGAAGTAACCATAATGATGGGGCCATTGTTACCCAAGGAATGTGATTAATATACCTTTCATAGAAAATGGTTCGGAAATGCTACATACCAAATACATAAGCTTTGGGGTTCTTACAAGATTAACAAGGATCATATTTTCCAATTTTTCTTTTGGTCAGTTAAGTGACTTCTTGTGCATTAGACACTAACCATTTATAAACTGTATGTTAAGGAACACTTTATGGGTTTTTTGGGGGAAAGTTTTATATAACCTACCAAGTTGTTTGAGAGATGCTGTTTAAAAAAATTGTAAGACAGATAACAGGTAGGTTTAGACCAAAATCAGGTGATCACAAAAAGATATTTTTGCTCGGTCAGCTAAAATTTTCTGCACTTATTGATAACTGCACAAAAAGTTAACAAACAAACATGCTTTTATTAAATTTATTAAATTAAAAACTACAGTGACATTTAAATTAAAAACTATTTCCTCTTGAAGTGTTCAGTAAAGAAATGTGTATATATATATAAAATAAATATAATAGCAGTTAATAAAAGTCATTGATTGCAATTCTTAATTTAAAAAAAAAACCAAAAAACCAAAACATGTGTTCCTTTATGGTTGTAAGCTTATTTCTGTTCAACATTTTCAAATTGTGCTGCCACCCGAGAACTCACTCTATCAGCACTTCTTCTAGCATGCCCAACTTTTGTACTGCTGGTTTTTGGTCTTGCTCTCTCCTTGTATAATGAATGGTTTGAATCATTTCTATGGTCTACATGACTATTACCATTTGATATCTTACTTGAACTGCATCTTAATGGTTTATGTTCTATAAAAGCGCTCACATCCTCAGCACTGCATCTAGTTGGTTTATCTGCATTTTCAGCATTCTTTTCATTAAAGCTGCAATGCACTGGTTTGTGCTCTATATATGCACTAATCTTTTCTTCTGCACTTAATGATGTTGCTGCTGGAATATCTTCAATGTCCTGGTTATGTTTACCCTCTATATGTTCAATAATTTTGCTTGCACTGCATCTCTGTTCACTTCCTCCATTACCCATACTGTAAACATTACAGCTACCTGACATAGATCTCTTGCTAAATTTATCATTTATTAACTGATCAACTTCTGGCTGCTCAGAATCTTCTGTCTGCCTATCAACTTCTGGCTGCTCATCATCTTCTGACTGCTTCTCTGATGCATCACTCTGAGCATCATTATCATTAAGACTGTTCTGGTGTTGTCTACCCTCTATATAATCAATAATTTCTCTTGCACTGCATCTCTGTCCAATTCCTCCATCTGCATTACTCCTTCTTGACATATATGTCTTGCTATGCATATCATTTGTTAACTGATCAGCTTCTGACTTCACCTCTGATGTATCACTCTGAGAATTATTATCATTAGCTCTGTTCTGGTGTTGTCTACCCTCTATATAACCAATAATTTCTCTTGCACTGCTTCCCTGTCTAATTTGTCCCTTTGCATTAAACTTATTAGTGATATAACTTGGCAAATGCTTTAGTCTGTAATTTTTCACTGTATATGAATTAATTCTTTCCACACTATCCTTAACATATCCCAGTGATTTTGGTCTTGGTATCCCAGGTTTGCTGGCTTTAAATTCATTACTATTTCTTCTTAAAGGTACCTTTTCAATGGTTGCCCTTGCAGGTGTTAAACCACACTTATGAGTGCTAGGACTTGGCGTTTTCATTCTTCTGTCAGTGTTCACTATATGAGTGTTAAGACTTGGCGTTTTCATTCTTCTGTCATGTTCACTATAGAAGAGTTAATTTTATTCACACCACCTGTAACATGTCCCCATGATTTTGGTCTTGGAATACTTGAATTGATCTTGTTTGCAACTGGCTGTTTTTCAGACAGAAAAGGGCCATCACCCTTTAAAATAGATTCCTCTGGTATTGATTTCCTTTTCTCACCTAAAATTACTTCATCTTTCCAGTTCTTACATCTGTGTATTTCTGATATATGAGCAATCACCACAAATAACTTGTTTTTCTGTTTTGCCTCCCTTACCTGTTCAACACTTTTCTTGCTGGATGTAAAACATACAGATGCATCTACATCATTGACATCAGTGCCATAATTCTCTTTCTCCAAAAGATTGCTAATTGTTGCAGCTGTCCTTTCTTTATCATTATCACTATCTATAACATCAAGCTTTGATACAAACTCAGCATTTGTCACAGGTTGTGACTTATGATCAGACTTATGAGAGCTAGGACTTGGTGTTTGCATTCGTCTGTCAATGTTCACTACAGGTGAGTTGATTTTATCCATTCTACCTATAACATGTCCCATTGATTTTGGTCTTAGAATACTCGGTGAACTGATCTTGTTTAAAGTTGGCTGTTTTTCAGAGAGACAAGATTCATCACTCTTAAAAAAAGTTTGCTCTGGTATCGATTCTCTTTTCTCTCTTGAAATTCCATTGTCTGTCGTTTTCTTGCATCTGCGTATTTCTGCCATAAGAGCATTCACCACTAATATCATGCCTTTCAGTTTTTCATCTCTAGAAAGTTTAGCTGATTCTGGTGTTGCCTCTTCAACATTTTTCTTCCTGGAAGTTTGACATACAGATGCAGGAGCTGGCCATTCATTCATTCTTGCTCTGTTTTCTTTCACGTGCTTGATGTTGCTTCTAATTAAGCTGCTAATTTTTTTTCCATCAGACCTCAAACCATCAATTGCTTTAGTTTGAACATCTCCTCCACCTTGGAAAGATTTCCTTCTATTCTTTACATACGAGTTTTCATAAACTTTTGTTGACTGTTGGTCGGTGGCAGATATCTTGGGTGCATCTGTCTTCACATCATGTGCTCTTTGTTTGAATTCCTCCTCAAGCTCATTTTCAGACTCTCGAGGAACAGCATTGCTATTCCCAATATTTCTATGTGCAACATCAATAGATTTATATATAAGTTTTGGTGAGTTCCCTTCAGTCATTTCAGTATCAAATTTATTGATGTGATGTTTGACAATCCCCTTTGGCATGTAAATTGGAATCCTTTTTCTAGTCCCATAACTATGTTTCTTTCCTCCAAAACGATTTACTAACTCACCAATATCCTTTCTTTCTACAGATGCAACCTGCGATTGCTGCTCAATCGTTTTAATTGGTTGAATAATATCCAGTTTACCTAGTTCATATCTACTTATTTTATCTCTTCTTATCCTTCTCAATCTAGCAGGATCATACTCATTTCTAATTGCTTTAATTCTCTCCTCTTCAAAAATTAAATTCACCCTGTCTACTCCTCTCCTTACTTTCCCCTGTATAAATTGTACAGGAACATTGATTTTATTAGCAATGTCCTCTATTGCAATGTCTTTCTTACATTTAGTACTGTCAACATCTGTTCCGACCTTTACCTTTCTTACCTTTTCCCCATGTTTACCATCCTCCATACATTTAAAGGCATTTATTCTATCACTCACTCTCACTCTCATCCCATCAGTATGATCTATTCCAGTACATTTCTCAGAAGCTTTACAGCTCTGTCTTACCTCATCTCTATGTTTCTCTGCCATCATTGCATTGATTTCATCTGCTCGCTTTAAGTACTGCTCTTGAATAGTTTTGATTTTGCTCTTACTATTCTCTGCAAGAGAATGAAGTTCATCACAATTTGATGTGGATTCCTGAAAAACATAAGTATATTAGGCTTTAGCAATATGAAATTTTCTTCTGTGATTCTAAATACATGTCATATGTGGACACACATCTATACATTTACTGAGTATGTGTTATTTTTCTAGATTCTTCTCTCCCGTCTCTTAACTCTACCTCATATCTACGCGAAACAACGCACTCTCGACCCCCCCCCCCTTTTAGGCCTCAAATTGTGAAAAAATGTCCTATTTGGGTCCAAAAGATACATCAGGGGGTTGCCAGAAGGGGGATGTGCCCCTCTCTGTTTGGGGGGTTTGAAGGGGGCGTTAGTCCCCCTCATCGCCAAGAAAATTTTGGACTTGTGAGAGGCTACAAATGACCCCAGGTCGATCATAAGGTAACATGTAACCAACGCTGAAAAGCCTTTGACTCTATCTCAATCTCTTGAGAAGTTGCAGCACTTTGAAATAAATTTTGATGGAAAAAATCAAGGCAAAATAGTGATTTTTGGCAATTTTGAGATGTCCCCTCGTTGCCATGGTAACAGGAAATTTAAGACTGAGCATGTCGTTACAAAGGCAATGGTCCAGTCAAGATTTTAAAGTTACCTCTGCAGAACAAACACCTCTACAACAACATTATAATTTATGTCCTAAAGTAAGACTTTACAATAAACCTCTGTAGAGCAATCACCTCTCTACAACAACATTTTCATTACTTTCCCAAAGTAAGACTATAAATTAAATGTAATCCCTGCAATCACCTTTTTAAAACAACATTTTATTATCATTTTTCCTACATTTCTCAAGGGATTTTGTTCAAACTTCCATAGAAGCTTTGTCATTAAGTGCCAAATGACCTTGACCTTGACCCTACAGGACCCAAAAGCAGGCAGATGAGCTGGCAGGCATGCAACAACCTAGATAGTTTCTGTTTTATAACTAAATAAAGTTTGTTGTGATTAAAAGGATATATTACACTAATAATTTAATTTAATGGAAAAAAGGGCCATAATAAGGTAAAAACTTATCCCATCACAAAACCCCAACAATAGGCATCAGTGCACTTGAAGACAAAGAATCTGTGAAAGTTTAAACAAAATCCCTTGAGAAATGTAGAAGGAGTTGGGAACAGAAGAAATTGTTCACTATATACTCTACATAAGGAAGAAAAACAAAGGGCCATAATTTAGGTCAAAATTTATCCAATCACAAAAACCCAACAAAAATCATCAGGGCACTTGATGACAAAGCTTCTGGGAAAGTTTGAACTAAATCCCTTTAGAAATGTAGGAGTTGCACAATAGAAGAAATTGCTCACTATATACTCTATATAAGGGAAAAAAACAGAGGGCCATAATTAGGTAAAAAATTATTCAATCACAAAACCCGACAATAAGCACAAGGGCACTTGACAATAGGGCACTTGATGACAAAGCTTCTATGATTTAAGTTTGAACAAAATCCCTTGAGAAATGTAGGAGGTGTTGCGCACAGAAGAAATTGTTCACTATATATTCTATATAAGGAAAAAAAACAAAGGGTCATAATTAGGTCAAATATTATCTAATCACAAAACCCTGACAATATGCACAAGGGCACTTGATGTCAAAGCTTCTGTGAAAGTTTGGTCAAAATCCGTTGAAAAATGTAGGAGGAATTGCACACAGAAGAAATTGTTTACGCCCGCCCACCCGCCTGCCGATCCAACCGCCCGCCCGCTGACATACCTCAATCTAATAACCAGTTTTTTCCTTCGGAAAACATTGTTAACTAAGGTCACTAGTCCTCTGTTTTGATAAACAACAAATAGAGGGCATAGATATCATAAACAGACATTTTAAAGCAGCATGCCTCCAGATTAATGATAATTTTCATGAAAATTTAAAAAATGTCTTTAAAGTATAATTTTGATATTGTTAAGGGAACATAGAAAGTAATTTACATATGGCAACAAAACTTACAATCAGTATAAATTACTGGAAAAAGGTCAAAATATGCAAAAACAGCCTTTACTGTTAAAGTAACACAGAAGAAACATGGTGATATATATGTTACATAGTAGCAAACTAATATTTTTGCATATAAATGCATTATTGTATATTACGTATATGTGTATTTCTCACATAGCCATGTTTATATCTAAAATGTTGGTTTTTTCATATAATTATTTTTGTTTTCAATTTTTTTGTGAATATTGTTTTAATTAATACAACAAGAGCTGTCACAGGAGACAGCGAAGCTCAACTAATAAAATACTGGACACAGTAAAAAGACAAAACTATGAAAGAAAAATCAATTATGTATAATTAGATAGATAGATAGATAGATTTATTTCGGCATAAAGGTAAACATGTTACATGATAAACAAACACAATATAGATAAAACAATTACAAACTAGACCTATCACTGAAGGTGATTAATACCCCCACCAGCAACTTTTTGAAAAAAAAAAGTAGTCTGAAGAAAACTTTCAACACAAACTATCAACTGTGTACAAAGAAATATTTCAATTAATTGTAATCCCAACTGGGTCTCCAAATAAGCTTGCTTTTCACAAAGTTTGATTACAATATCTCATTCCTAACTCTAGTTATTGTCCGGTAACCATTTTTCTATTTTTAGGAATGGTGACCTTGACCTTGACCCCAGGGGGTCCAAATGCAATACCAACCCAGGTCTTCATATAAGCTTGCTATACACCAAGTTTGATAACAATATCTCATTCCTAACTCTAGTTATTGTCCGGAAACCATTTTTCTATTTTTAGTAATGTTGACCTTGACCCCAGGGGGCCAAAAACAATACCAACCCAGGTCTTCATAAAAGCTTGCTATACACCAAGTTTGATTAAGTTTGATTACAATATCTCATTCCTATCTCAAGTTATTGTCCGGAAACCATTTTTCTATTTTTAGTAACGGTGACCTTGACCATGACCCCAGGGGGTCCAAATGCAATACCAACCCAGGTCTTTATATAAGCTTGCTATACACCAAGTTTGATAACAATATCTCATTCCTAACTCTAGTTATTGTCCGGAAACAATTTTTCTATTTTTAGTAACAGTGACCTTGACCTTGACCCCAGGGGGTCCAAATACAATACCAACCCAGGTCTTCATATAAGCTTGCTATATACCAAGTTTGATTACAATATCTCATTCCTTACTCAAGTTATTGTCCGGAAACCATTTTTCTATTTTTAGTAACCATGACCTTGATCTTGACCCCAGGGGGCCTAAATGCAATACCAACCCAGGTCTTCATATAAGCTTGCTATACGCAAAGTTTGATAATAATATCTCATTCCTAACTCTAGTTATTGTCCGGAAACCATTTTTCTATTTTTAGTAACGGTGACCTTGACCTTGACCCCAGGGGGTCCAAATGCAATACCAACCAGAGTTTCCACATAAGGTTGCTATATACCAAGTTTGATTACAATACCTCGTTCCAAACTCTAGTTATCGTCTGGAAACCATGATGTGGACCGACCGACGGACGGACCGACCGACCGACCGACCAACCGACCGACAAGCTGACTCCTATATACCCCCCCTAAACTTCGTTTGTGGGGGTATAATAAATGAATAAATAAATAAATGAATAAATACTATATTATGTCAACCATGACATGTTCCCAAAACCAAGGATAACACATAAAAGAGCAAGCTCTTATTTCCATTGTGGTCCTTAGCATTTGGTGGCATGACATAGAGAGGTATTTCATAAAAGAAAAAAAAAATATCACAAATTATAAGATAAATCACATTAATGAAGGATATCATTTAAAATTATCACAATTTAAGATTGTACATGTAAGATAATGTAAATAAAAAGTCAGTATCACATTAAGAAATAATTATGTGCATATTAAGAAAAGATTACATTAAAAAAAATCATCACAGTAGTTATGAGTATGTAGGGAAAGAACATGCCATAAGATTAGGCTATTCAAAAAAAGATAAAGTTATTAAAGTCTTAATAAAAAATTTAAAACAAATTTCAAAAAATGAAACAGTAAACCTAATCCAAAAAATAATTCAATAAGAAAAATGAAAACATAAAATTTTCTTGCAAGAAATTTTAAGAAAAACACTTACATGCTACTTAAAAAGTGCATGCTTCTAAAAAAGTGACTTTTGATGGCTACCTTAAAACGATGAAATTTGTTAATTTCAGTTATACAAGTTGGAAGACTGTTCCATAGTTTAGCACCAATAAAACTAAAAGACTTTGACCCGGAACCTTTAACCTTAGGAAGACAATACCCTCCTTTTTTGCTCAGTCTGGTGCAATAAGAATGCATAGATTCCTGAGAAACAAAATAATCACTTAAGTACTCTGGGGCCCATGATTTGGTTTTTAACCTTAAAAACGTGACATAACATGATTTGTTCAACTCTTTTACAAACTGGTAACCAATTAAGGGATTTAAAATGGGAAGGGCCAATATGAACTTTGGAATCAAGGTTTAGAAAAAATCTCATCATTTTATTTTGTGTTGTCTGTAATTTATTTTTCAAGACCTGAGTTAAACCATTATACCAGACACAGCAGGCATAGTTAAAGTGGCACTGAATTAATGAATTGACAAGCAGTTTTTTGGTATGCTGTGTAAGGAAATTTTTCTTACGGTAAAGGAACTTTAACCTGGCGTTAGCCTTCTGAATTACTGAGTCTGCCATGTAATCAAAGGACAGGTACTGATCAATAGTAACCCCAAGATATTTGATGGATGTGGATGCTTCTATTGCAGTGCCATTACTATTTATGTTAAATTTGGAATGTGACCTGAGTTTCTGTTGAGACCCAAACACAATGGACTCAGTTTTACCTAAGTGCAACGATAACTTATTATCAATTAACCATTGACTTACTGAGGGCAAATCTTCAGATTCAGAAATTTCCACCTCAGAGATAATTTTTCCAGAAACAAGTATTCCAGAGTCATCAGCATATAGCAATAGTCTATTTTTACTACTGCTGACATGTCATTGACGTAAATTAAAAAGAGGAGGGGCCCA